AAGAAAAGTATCTGTTTAATCCAGTTCTAACAGCGCACGTGGTAAGAGACTTAATCTGTTGGAGAAACACAAAGAAAGTCATGCAGATTTAATCCATTTCGAACAACAAGGAGTAAAAAAAATTAAATTAGGCCAGTCTGGACAGAAACTGAAATTAAAAGTATTGTTTCAGACAAGAAGTGTGAAAGTGGAGTAAACTAACTTGGACAACAATACATTCAAGAAGTAGAACGTTAAATGGGCCTGAGCTGTTGAAAGAAGTTTCAGTAACTCACTAAACAGCGTTGTTTTTGATACTTGGCCTGTTGTTTTTCTTTACCTAGGGACTCTGAAGTTACTTTATCTTAGAAGTCAGACTGTCTAATTTGCTTTTGTTTTTAGTTATGTTTTTATCACATCTTATACAGATGTTTTCTTCACCATATTTGCAGTCCGATTTCTGTAGAGGTAATTTATATCGTTGCCATAGTTAGTAGCCTATAGAATCACATAAGTTTAATTATCAGTCAGTTATTAATTTTTTCAAATTAATAAATACGAATGATTTCGTATCTCCATTTCGGCTGTTAATCTGCAGCCGTCATCACTGAAATCCAAAGTTTGTATGATTTGTTTTTTGCTCTTTTTTTTTAAGTTAAGCACAAAGCTACACAATAGGCTATCTGTACTCTGCCCACCACGAATATCGAAACCCAGTTTCTGGCATTGTAACACCGCAGACATACAGCTGTGCCACTGGCGAGCTCGCGGTATGAGCCTGGATACAATCCTGGCTCTTCATGTTATGAATTATCTGTTTGCTTGTTTGAAGTTAAGCACAAAGCTACACAATAGGCTATCTGTGCTCTGCCCATTACGGGTATTGAAACCCGGTTTCTAGCGTTGTAAGTCCCCAGACATACCGCTGTGCCACTGGGGAGCATGGATTATCTGAAAAATATACAACACATTTCCAAAGATAACGGATAATTCATGAGGTTTGAGCTTTTTTCTGTGAATTTTGCTCATAAAAATACGCCTTAGGATTTATGTATATTTTATGTAAGAACAGTCTTAATAATGTAAACATTTCTTAGTCAAACTTTTCGTGTCGTGTTTGAAATATTTTATACAAAATACTAAAATAAAAGCTTAGGAAACACAATATCAACCATTCAGCTCTGAAAATATTTACATTGGTAAAACTATTTCATATTTTACTTTTATATCCTAGCAACAGCCGCGTGTCATCAAAGTTACGTGATTGCAACGTGACTGTAACCTTTCTTGATGAAAGACAATTTCTCAAGAAAAACAATTAGTCCTTGTGTCGTCAGGCACCAAAAGTACAAGAGAAAATCTTCATTTCAACCTTTAAAGATATTGTTTGTTTTATTTTATTTTGGTGTAGGAAAATAAAAGGTTTGTTACTAAGAGCGCCAGTTTTAAAGTAAACAAAATAGTTTATATGTAGGGTTAATACATGCTCTGCAGACGTAAACCATGGCGCCACAACTGACACATTTAGCATATAAATATTTGGCTCATAGATATTGTTGAACTGTGAAACGCCACCACAAGAAACTATGTTACAGTGGACGTATGTAATCTGTTTTCTTCAAACGTTTATATTTATTATTTATTTATTTATTATATTATATTTCACGTTTTTATTCATAGCAAAACTACTAAGTCTACTCTTGCCATCCCTAATTTTGAACTACCGACCAGAGGGAAAATAACCAGTCAGTAGTACTTTATCGCCCGCCATCCACACTAAGGGATTGACGTCACCCTTGTAATACACCCACAACTTAAAGTGCAGGCAGTATTTTGCATGCGATTCAAACCCTTCTCACCAGTTCCGAAATCCATAATTCTACCACACCACCAAACCGCGTCCTTTCCCTAATATAAGTTTACGCATACGGCGAAGAACGGAAATGGACAAATATTGAAACAAGTTTGTTTGTTTGTAATTAAGCACAAAGCTACACAATGAGCTATATGGGCTCTGCACACCACGGGTATCGAAACCCG